GCCTGCTCTGTCCTTCATCTTCCTGCCCTCTCCTTCCCTCCTTGGGGGGTGCTTAGGGGGAGAGGAGTGAGGCAGCACCATCTGCCAGTAACTCATCAGTCCTCGGTGTAACGCCATTAGCAGAGGCAGTTGCCCCCAATTCAATTATGTTATTACACAGAAATCAAACTTCCGTTTTGATGCACGTAAAACTGAGCAGGAGACTTGCTGGTCTTTTATTCTATTTTATTTTATAAAATAGTTTATTCCCAGGAAAGCACCTTTCCATCTGAATCACAACTGATCAATTCAGAAATCATTGAGCAGTGAGACGAGATGAAGAAACCGTCTCTGAACTTTACCAGATAGAATGGAAATAACTGGGGAAAAAAACAATTTTGGGGCAACATTTCCCCAACATTTCCCTGAACTGCACCAACTGAACTCTGAAAAACACAGAGCAACACCCCTCTCCCTCTCAAAAGCAACATTCTCAAATTGGTTAAACTTGTGTTATCTCGGGCCAAAACCATATATATGAGCAAAACCAGATGGTAAACATAAACACTTTTAAAAGTTAATTTAAAACCAAACCTAAAGATACTGAAATTCACTCTCTGAAAGTAGCCCTGTAATTAATCAGGCAACAGCTCTCCAATGGACCCACACATGATGTCACCACTTGGCGATAATTAGAAGCTGCCATATATTAGAAATAACTTCACACGACTGGTTTAAGCAAGTAAGATTTTTGGCTCCATGTGTGTAGTGATAATTTTATTGAGCACAGAATTTTTACTTCTTTTTATTTTCTCTGAACTGACATCCATTTGCCTGTGCTGGTGAGTTACACAGCTATGTTAGGAATTATCTCTTTACGAAAACACCACTCTTTTCCCCTTAAATTTATATCTGTTTTAAAGAAACCCATTCTCCCCAAATTACCTTTCATTATCAAAGAATTTCCTGCCTAAGGAGAGCATATATATTTGCCAACTTCTGGGATTATTTAGCCATAATGTACTGTGTACTGTCAGCACTCATTAACGTGACAGTAGCAGTAAAGCAAGCTGAAAATGACTAAATTACAGTAGACTCCAATCAACTTGCATGTAAATTACCCACCCTACAGTTAACTACTGAGTTATTTAACCTTCTTGCCTATGACAGTTCAGTAAAGATTAGCTCGTGTTCTAGAAAATTATATAATGTTCGAACCCTGCTTATTTAAAAATAAATCAGTTGTGATATATGAAGTATAAGAAAAAATTCCAGGCTACAAAAAACCCCTGCTGGCAGCGGATCAGGGGCAGGGCTGGTTTGACTCAGAGCTCTGCAGGCAGCACAGGAGGGGGAGCGAAGGTCAGGGCCTCCTTCTGCAGTGGGTTCTTTTCTTCTCCCATTCTGGCTGCTGGGGAAGCCCTCTGTCCTTCCCCCTCCCCACCTGCCCCATCCTGGTCTTCACACGCAGCCGTGGATGTGGGAGCACGGGCAGGAATGGGGTGAAGGAGAAGCAGAACACGACGGGATTTTGGCTGTCCTGGAGAGGCTCCGTCACCGCGGTGCAGCACAGGCACAGGAGCCTCCCCACGGGAAGGTTTCACAGCCTTTTCCATTGCCAAAAACACTGTGTCATTGTTCTGAACCGGTGCAGAAACGCCGTGGTGGAGCTGACACCTCCCAGCACCCCCATCCTCACCCAGCTTGCCCTGGAAAAGTGGTGGGATGTCCCGGGGGAGCGTTCCCTGCCCTGGCAGCAGCTCTGCCCTGCCCTGCCCTCCTCCCTCGGCCTGTCCTCAGCGGCCCTGCACGGGGCAGCCGCAGGACACAGCCCTCTGTCCTTCAGCTACCAGAATAGCAAAGAGCCAGGGCAGCGCTTTATCTCACTTAATCTGCTCGGACGCCTCGTGCCGGGCTCCCTGCAGTGCAGCACCCTGGGGTGGACCGGGGGAGTTTGAGCTTTTGGAATATTCTGAAAGGTGGTTTGTTCTTTTTTTTTTCTGCTTATCAGTTTACAGAGCCGTTGTTTTTTGTCTCCTGCAGCACCACGTGCACCCTTGCCCAGCCTGTGGGATTATATACAGGGCTGATGAGCACCACCCACCCATCCTCCCCGCCGGAGCCCAGCTGCCCATGCAGCTCAGCGGCAGCTGGGTGAGCACCCACTGCGAGGTCCGACCCGCCGTGCTCTTCCTCACCAGGTACTTCATATTCCACGGGAACAACCACACCTGGGAAGGGTATTACTATCACTACTCAGACCCGCTCTGCAAACAGCCCACCTTCACCATCTACGCCTCTGGGCACTACTCCCAAGGCATCCCCTCCTCCAAGGTGCGGGGCGGCACCGAGCTGGCTTTCAAAGTCACCCAGGCTCGGGTGACGCCGATGGACCAGGTGACGGTGATGATGCTCAACTCCTCAGAACCTGGAAGCTGTGGGCTGGCGAGCTCCTGGAGCGCTGGGGTGGAGCAGGATATAACAGCCACGAATGGCTGCTTGGCTTTGGGCATCAAGCTGCCCCACACCGAGTACGAACTCTTCAAAACGGAGCAGGACACGCGGGAGCGGAGCCTCCTGTACATCGGGGAGAGACCCACGGACGGGTCCAGCCCCGACAGCCCAGACAAGCGACCCACGTCCTACCAGGCCCCTCTGGTTCAGTGTGCTGGAGCCTCAGAGGAATTCTCCAGCTACGTTAGTCTGAAATACTTGGGAAGGAAGGATGCTAATGGGAAGGAAGCACTAAAACCTTTGCCTGTGGCCTTTTTATTGTTCATAGCACTTCTGTTTTTAAGATGGGACTAGTTATCCATTCAGGTACAGCACAGAATCCAGATAAATCTTGGTGCTAGCGTGATTTTTATATCCTTCAAATGAGCACATCTGGAATCAGTTTTTCTCAGATTTGGAAACACTTTTTTAAAAACACCCAGTAGTGAATGAAGCCAAGAAGATATGCCTGACTCAATACTGTTTGTCCCGTGGCTTTATTGCCTAATCTCCCCTCTTTGCGTGCAAATTTAATGTAGTGACACGGATGTGCTGCACATTGCAAGGGATAATTCAGCAACATGGGGGGGGGGGGAAGTGACATCAATTAAAATTGCTGCTTTGAGCTTTTGACATTGCTAAGATTTAATCAAGAGCTTGATTCCGATGTAATTCAAACATCCGAAGTGTCGGCTGCTGAGTTTCTTTGAGGTTAAGTTCCCTCCCATCATACTCCTTTTTGCTGTTCATGCAAATTTAATCTGCAGAGTCAGTCAGCAATAAACAGTCAGCAAGTGTTCTTGAGAAGGGCACGGTTCACGTGCCTTTGGCAGTTCACAGATACTTTCTGCACTTTTCCTGTGTGTGTCACACACACAAGGGTGCAACGTGCAGTCTCCCACTCAGGGCTGCCCAGAACAGCCCTCACGGAGCGTTACCTCGGCTGCTACGCCTGACCCTCGTCAGAGAGGATTATGGTAAATGGAAAATGCTGCTGTGCACAACAGCTCCAGCCTCCAGCATTCCCTGGCTGCAGCACTGCATCCTTGCTGTGTTGTTCTGCCTCTCCAGTGCAGTCCTGACTGCTGCTCACCAGGCACCCTGTGAAGGAAAAGATCCCTCACAAGTCTTGCTTGCAGTCCAGGTATTTTCACTGCCTCCTTTTCAGTCAGTGTACTGGCACATCAATTGTTAATCCAGCTCTCCTCTCAAAGTGTCCCTTCCAGCCTCTTTCCTGTACAGATGTTTTATAAATCTGCCTCTGGTGAACAATGGGCTGGGGAGATGCTCAGATCAGACAGCACAGTCAGGTCAAACTGATTCCTACTGACAAGAAGGACAAACTAAAAAATTATATTCCCTGTCTGCTGCAGCTAAGAAGCATATAACTTCTCTGGAGAAGCCCTCCTCCAGCAGCTAAATCCTCTCCAAATAAGCCTATATATCTTACCACAAAGGATATTTTGTTAAAGCAGCTATGCAATAGCCACCTTCTTAATGCTGTATTTACGAACTTGCAGCTTGTACTTAGATAAATTATGGGGTTTATAACACAAAAATACTTTGGGGGACCTGTACATTAATAATTCAAATGAGATGCTTATTAAATGCATACAGTTGTGACATAAATGTTGTCAGCATGTTCACGTGTTCCAGGCATGATCAAATATTAATCATGCACATAAACACTTATACTTCTAAGATGATACACAAAAGGGCCAGGTTTGGCTGCCTTGCCTTGGGTTCCTTCCCCAGCCTGAGGAGGAGCCTTCCCCAGGGATTAGTTCAGCAGGCAAATCCTCCCTGTGTCCAAGGGTGGTTGTGCTTTGTTGCACGGGGATCCACAGGCAAACGTGTGAGGGAGTGAATGTTGGAGAAGGTGGTGTCTCCTTTGGGATGTTCCCGTTAGGATGCTGTGAACTGGGGCAGCACAGCTGCAATCTCCTGTCAGCCACACACGTGGCACAACTTCTCCTTCCGCAGTTTCTCACCCCGGTGCTCCAGCGGCCGCTCCTGCAGCCCAGGGAAAGCTTCCTGGGACTCACAGCAGCAAAGGTGCCTGTTTCTGCAGGACCCACTCCATGGCAGGAATAGGGAACAGCTCTGTGCTGCCTTTGGAGGGTGGATGGAGGAGGGGGAAGGCAATTCCTGGCCAACACTTATCCCCGGGAATGAGATTTGTGTGCAGGTGCTTCTTTTTTTTCATAGCACAGAAACAAATGAAGTGTTCAGGTGCCACATGGTATAAAAGCTCAAGTCCACACAGATCCTTTCCAGGTGGGGATGGGATTAACATGATATAAAACATTACAAGACAACATCACACACTTATGCAACAGCAACAAGGCCTTGAGAAAGCTCTGCCCTGCCCTGCAGCAGCTCAGACACCACTGGCTCCAGCAGCACCAGCTCCACAACTCTGACTGAACTTCCCTAGGGAACACTCATCAGGAGCCTCTTTGTCCTGTTTCCCCCCTCCTCCCCCCTTAAGGATACTTCTGAAAGGAAAAAAAGCCATGAAAGACCTATTTGCATAAATATCATAACTTTTATTATTCTGTTCACAGTTCTTGAAGACACATTCCTAAATTACACAGTTATTCTCTCTTAAGAATTTGTGCCTTTTCCCAATTTGAATTTGCCTGGCTTCCACTGCCAGTTGGTGATTCTTGTGTTGCTCTTTTTATGCTCAGAGAGCTGCAGTGTTCAGTGTTTTCTCCCTGTGAAGGTATTTGTGCACTGTAATCAAGACAGCCTCAACTTTGGTAGAAAAGCTCAGCCAACTGAGTTTTCTCTCTCACCCTCTCTAAGGCATTTTCACACTCCACCAGTAATTTCTGCATCTCTTCTTTTTTGATTCCATTCCAATTACCCAGCTTCTCTTTTAAAATGTAAATATCCAAACTGCATCCAAAACTCCCAGCTCTCACAGCTGAGACATACAGAAGGATAATCACTTACAGCTAACAGTAATTAAAACAAGAACATATTCGTATTCATTTGTCTTTTACTCTGGAACTGCACTGGGAATGTACATGGAGCTGTTATTCACTCTGGTCCTGGTAGGGATATTTTTGCCATGTTACCATTTTATCAGTAGTGGTTTTCTAGGTTTTCACCAGTGATCTGGAACCACTGAATCTGCCAGGTCCCCACAGAATCCCCCTGAGCATCCCCATTTCACTGTGGTTCCCTTTGAACTTCAGCAACGTGTGATTGTCAGGAAACACGGAGCTTTGCAGGGCCCAGGCAGACTCTAACCCCAAAGAGAACTGAAAACCAAAGAGAATGAGAGGACTTGGATCACACTCCTTCAGGAACATCCATCTCCTTTTCCATCCCTTCCCAGGGCTGTCACACTGGCTGCCCTGTCCCGCTCACCACCCTCAGCAGCAGCCCCGAGACTGCCCCAGGCTCCTCCCTTCCCAACACTGAGCCAGGGCTTCAAGGCCTGCCTGTTATTTGAAGTACTGAGCGTTGCTAAGGAAGGACAACACCTTCCCAGTCCTCTGACATCATCACCAGGTTTTACCACCTGCACCTATTAACGGTCCTTATCCTACAGCAAAGATTTCCCCTGAACTCCAGCTCTTCATGGCCCTCTCTGAGCACTCCAACCCACACAGTTTGCTTTCCCTTTGGCTGGTGCTTTCCTTATTCATTTTCTGCACTTTCTAACTCCCATTTTGAATGGATTGCTGTCTGCTTCCCTTTTTCTCATTTGTTTTATATTAGTTTCCATCTAATTTTTCCCTTCATTTCACCACTGAAGCAGGATGGGCAGTTAGCCAAAGCTGTCCCCCTTCTCGACTGCAAAATTATTGGGTTTTTGGCCATTTAATACCTTTCACTTAGAAAACTGCCAATTCTAATTCAGTTTTCCATCTAATTTCTTCCCCACTACCAAATCTGATATGAAATTTGCTCAGCTATGCCCTTTTGAAGCAGCAATTACATTTATTAGAAGCTCACATGGTTCTGTGCTGAGCTCCACTGTAATCAGGATTCCAGCTTGAGTTCTGTGATTCATTTATCTTTATCTGACATACACAAGACAAAACCAAATAACTTCATCTTTCATGTCTAACACTGCATTAAAAAAACCAGGTCTAAGACATAGACCACGAGCATTAATCCTGATTACTGGCTTTCTTTCAACTACCAAACAAATAAATACCCTTTTACTGTTCCTGTGAAGAAAACCCAAGCTAACACGTGCTGGCAGGTTTGTACCAGCTGGAAGTTGATGGTAACAGGCACATGTGTCTTAGAAAACTCTCCTCCATTCACTTCTCTTAGAATACGTTCCAAAAGTTTAATCATTTTTTAACAACTCCAAAAAGCAAAGAAAAATAAAATAATTTCCAAACAGCCTCAATACATTTTCTGCCTTCCTGCACTGAGCCTGAGCCTTCAGTACCTTCTTTACCACCACGAGCTCCTCAGAAAAGCTGCCTTTCCAATTTTCTGCTTCTTTAGCAGGTGCAAAAGTTTAAAGCAGGAGCCAAGTTTGCCAGACAAACACAGTCCTGACAATCTCTTCACAGCTCAATTAACAGCAACTTATTTTTCCAATTAACCACCCTCATGCCCCTCTGTTTAAAATACCTCAGAATGCATTTTTGCATCGCTGATTTCCCAAACAATTCTTAAACTGAAACAAAACACACAAAAAAGTTTCAAAACACTTTTGGATACATTAACAGCATTGAGCTACTGCTTCATTTGATAAACAATCCAGATGGAATATAAAAGCCTGTTGCATACTATAAATAAAGATACTGCCCTGAAACAGCAGGAAGAAGCTGGAGACAGAAAGGAGATGGGTGACAAGACTCATTGCTCCAAACTCTACACAGAGTGAAGAGGAAGGAGGTACAAATTTGATCACAGAGGAAGCAGAAGGTGAGTGGTTATCCAGGATGGGAAAAGGCATCCAGGCCCAGTGAGATATCCACAGCTCTGCCAGGCAGCCCAGGTGCAGCCACAGTGCTCTGGAGTCCAGAAGTCTGGGACAGGCAGGTAGGGAAAAGCAACACTGGCAGGGTGATGGGAAGAAAGACCCAGATGGAAAACAAGCAGGCAGCAGGGAAGGAAAGCCAGTTAAAGATGCTCAGCTGAACATGGATTTCTCTGCCAAGGAGCAGGGAAGGAACAAGGATGAGTTGGCCTGAACCAAAGCGCTGAGGGAGGGAGTGGAGTGAGATTTGACAGCTCAGGCAGAACAGATTAGAAAGCAGGATGGGCAGCAGTCTCCAGCCTTTACAGAAATCTTCTTTTGGGCTCAAAACTGAAGCAAAGATTCCTGGCTCCAATCACACTTGTTTGTGGCCTCCCAGTCAAATGTGGAAATGAAAATTGCTGCTTCAGCTCCAAGTTACACATCGGGAGCTCGGGTCAGGAATGAGTGTCCACACACAGAACACAAAGGATTCCCTCCTGACACGCACGTGGGTTACAACCAGTTCCACATTTTAAGTTCCACTTTTAAAAATCTAATTATACTTAAGAGAGCCTCTATATGGCCAGGCACACAAAGCTGAGAGTTTTGGATGACTTCTGAGCAGCCTCATCTCACTTTCTGACCAGGTACTGATCAAATACTGCACTGTACTCATACAGAGTGGCCAAACTACCAGTGCACAAACCTGGTTCTGCCATTTCCTAATTCCTGAGTGCTTGACTTTGTAGAGCCTTAATAAAGGTCTTTTAGAAGTAGCTCTGTGTGGATAATTGTGTGTAGGAAATTTGCCAACTCAAACATGAGGGAGTTCAAGAGGCTTTTCTAATCTTGTGAGTTTATCCACTAAAGAAAAAGATTTGATTAAAAAAATGTACAGCTAAACTGGGAACAATACTTCACTACGGGCTGTTCCTCATAGGCACTTCGAAATCTTAAAAAAATCCCCACAAAATTAGGAACTTATTAAATCAGAATGAAATGTACCGATGCAGAAACATAAACAGAAATGCCAGATGGATAATGTCAACTTGTAATAGGCAGCTTCAATTAATTCTTCTTAATTCATTTGTTTTCTTAACTTCTTTTGTTTTGCCATCTGGAAAAGGCCATTTTCTAATGACAGATCACAGGAGAAAAGATCCAAAGTTCAAGTTTGCTTCAAGGAAAAGCAGCTTTGTTTCTGTGCTCGCAGGCCCCACGTTCCTTTTGTACTTCCACTCACACAGAGGCTTCAGGACAAACCTAGGCCTGGGCTGGGAGGCAAAGAGATCTATGTGGAAGTTTAGGAAAGGTTTCAAAAAGTTTTACTCTTCAAGTACAAACATGAAAGTAGTTCTTTAGCAGGAAATGAAGCCACAGGGAGCAGCAGAGTGAATGACAGGCCCACGGTCACTTTGGAAGTGTGCAGGTCTGTGCTCATCAGAATAGGATGTGCAAGAGATTCCTGGCTGGCTCTTACTTGGGTTATTTTAAAAGTAATCTTCAATTATCCAGTAAAAAAAAAATCAATCCATTAATAAAACAAACAAATTTTATAGCTGAGCAGTGGAAACAAACAATTACTTTGTTCTCTGAAGCTTATCAAAATAAAAGTGAGGAGCAGCACAATGAGAAGTGTCACTGTTGCACTGACACATTGGACAAAGTGATCAGAATACATGGAGCTGTCAGAGTAATATAAAAACTTAATTGGACATGGTTAAAGGATCAGCATTGCCCTGCTTGAACAATAAATCCCATGATTTATCTAACTGTAACAGATGATTTATACCAGCACTGGATCCCCCTGTCAGCTCCTCACGAAGCTGAGCCCGCGAACAAACAAGCAGCCTTGCTCAGTGTGTCCTTTTGTCTCTAAAATGCCTAAACACTGGTTTGTACAGATATTTTCTAATTAGTAAATTAAGTTTGCAGACATGTGTCTGACTCCAAAGAACAGTCACCTACACAGACAGTACTGAACTAGTCTCACTCCACACACGACCTTCTGTTTGTATTAGTGTTTTGACTTAAAAACCAAAAGCTTAAATACATACACTGAAATCCACTCATCACCTGTCCCATCTCAACTTGCTCACCTGAGGATTTGGGCAGTGGATGCTCAGCCATTCCCAAACCATGGAACAGCAGCTCTGCAGGCCCCCTCGCTGCTGTGCAGTTCTAGTGCAGCTGTGACCCAGCCACAACAAACAGGAGGTTGAGAGTGTTCTTTTACATGGGTTTTCATCTCAAACAGAGGGATTTTTGGCTGTGTTTTTTTCTCAGTTCCTTTATAAGGAAAGCAGAACTCAGGACATGGCATTTTAGGTCACCACGCAGAGCAAGAGAAGTATCGTTTCTAAAGTTAAGAGTACTACAGTTAAGTCACTACTGTGCCTGGGAATTAAGGACATTCCAATTAAGAGAAAAAAGTGCCATTTTTTTGAAGAAAAGGGATGATAGTTTTCTTCCAGTGGGGAATTGCAGCCTCAAGTATCTTGAGAGGTTGAATGATCCACTCTGTGCACACCATGATGCAAACACGCTGACAAGAACTGCAAGTTCACATGTGCAGAGAATAGAAACCCTTCCGAGTTTATTGGTGACAAGAAAGTCTATAGTGATTTGCAAAGTGAAGTAAGTTCCAACTTTATCCCACTAACAGCATTTCAGGAGGAAAAAGTCACATGGAATACCACCATCAAGCTATTACAATCCTGTATTTTTAGAAAATGACATTATGGTACATCAATCCCCCTCAACATGACAGACATGGCATGATCTTGCTCTCCAACCCCAAGGGCTGTTCCACAGTAACCTGAGTTGGGTTCTGGCTCCCACATGTTCCAGTTGTGCAGTCACAGCTGACAACTGCCAATGCACAGCAATACTTATGATCATTCATGCACAGAGCATTTGCCTTAAGATGTGGATAACTACATAAAAACAGTAGAAACCATTTTCCACTTGTTTCCCAGCACTAGGCTTCAAGATATTTTGTACACCTATTCATATCAAATTTGCCCGAGGAGTGCACCAAGCAGCCTCTACTGGCTCTTAAAAAAATTAACAATAAATGTATGTGCAAGTGGTCATCTTAAAATAACAGCAAGGACAATAAGTAGATTAGCAATAACTTGATTTCTACTATCATGTATCAATCACAGTTTTCTAACATCAGTTGTTGTGTGAGGACCCCAGACAATAATCTTATTTAGAAACCCTGTGTTTCATGCATAACTTCCTAAGATGGTAAAATGTCCTCCAGAATATGAATACTTCATGAAAACATTTGCTCTGGTGTTGTCATGGAAGGAAAGACTTACAAAAGGTCCAGGTGATTTAAGAACATCTACTCAATATATTTTTGCACTGTATCTACAGACTGGCCTTTTATGAAGAAAACAAGTACTTAACATTTCTTTCTACTGCCTATGACAGGAGGGTTTGGTCAGACAGACAGGCAGTGGGGATCCCACTGATCAGCTATTTTATTTTAAGCTCAGCAAAAGCAAAGCATCACCCAGACAATTCAGGGCTGTCAGAAATGGTGAGGGAAGATCTCAGAATTTCGTTAAATTCCAAAATACAAGCAGTTAAATTCAGAGTCTTGTTTAGGACCGATGATGTGGGTCAGCCCCAACTGCAGGTTACAGTCTTTACCAACAGATCCTCTGCTGGTCTCCTTGACCACGTGTTTTTAGGGCATCTGGCAAAGCATGAGAGTGTTTTCTGGGACCTCTTTATAATCCTGGAGTGCAAAACACCAGACCAACTTTGCTCACGGATGATTTAAAGTTCCAGGCTGTCAGAGATCACTAAGAAGTGACCACTGAACACTGGAGGAGGACACACGTGCTGCTGCCTTTGCCCTGTGCCTCCTCACAGTGTGTGTACAATCTACCTGAACATTACTACACATTTACTCACAGCAGACCAGCTTAAAGCTTTGATCTGCAAAGACAGTGATTTTTTTTTTAACCAACCTTTTTTCAGTCTGTTTTTTAGCAGAAAGGGCCCTCAAAAAATTTATTTTTTTAAAGCAAATCAGGAATTCAGCTTTTCTTACAAGAGTGAGATCAAGATACTTACAGCCTCTGAAAAAAAACTACTTCACAGCTCTGTAAAGGTTTTCTCAAATACATTCTTCAAAGTCATGGAAACTAATTTTGCAACATCACTCACAACCTTGTCTTTCTGAAAAGGCTCTTTCACAGTGTTTCATTTAAAGGTTTTCTTTAATCATCCTGCCCAAAATGTATCTTTGTCTTGATAAGTTCTGCCCAATGTGTCCCACTGAACTCACTGCTTCCTTCTTCCCAGCTCACTCCCACCTTCCCTGCCCTTTGCAGGAAGGCTGCATTAGCTCTGCCCCTTCCCTCCTGAGCAGAGAAGCCACCAGCACTTTAAAATGCTAAAAATACACCTCTCCTTTTCCGCGGAATCTTCTACAAGTACTCCTGAGTTGTGTTCACAGGCTGAACACACCGGTTATAGTTTTTTTCCACCTATTTTCTTATTAAGCCTCAAGTAAAATTTCACTTATTTGCACTTGCAAAGAAGGAAACCCTTGAGACACAAGTGGGACAAACATAAAGGTCAAGGAGTGCAGCAGACAGGCTGCAGCCCCAACAGCTTTCTCATGGAATCACAGGAAGGAATGACAGAAGTCACTTTTAAAAGGCTTATCCTAATCATGAAATACTCACAAACAATTTTGTCACCACAGGTTTTTGGGTCTACCATTTAAGAAGATATGTGAATTTACCTCCTCCAAAACTATTTCACCTACTGAACCCATCATGTTAAAGCACACTGAGTTCATACACCTCGTGCTAAAAGGAAGCTTAGAAACAAAATTACCTTCCCCTTAATCTGAATGTGCTGTCAAGTGTCTTTTAACTGCTGAACCCAACTAACCTGGAAAGTAGGATGTTACCTTGTACCTCAGCAGCCAACAGGGTTACTCTGAACAACACTTTTGTGTACCAGACTCGTGCTGGGGTGGTTTGGATTGATCTTAAAATTAGTCTGGAAAAAAAAAAAAATAATCACTCTGAAACAAAGTTTCCTTATGCCATAAACAAAGTTGACAAGAGAACACTGTTTCCTCCCCACCTCTAAAACTGTGAGAACAGGACAAAAGTAACAAAGGAAACATTAATTTGGGGGCTTTATTTAATTTTTCTTTTCTTTTTTTTTTCTTTTTTTTTTTAAGATGCTACATAGTCAAACAGGATTGGTCTTTTACGGCATAGGACTAGTTTACTACTAATATTTTTTTTCCCCTAGATAGACTTATTTACATACAAAAACAAGTTTCCTGACCACTGTTTTCCCCAATGCTCAGATGATCAAAACTCCCAACAATTGTGTAGTGCCCAAAACACCAGGAGGCAGAAGAATCTTGCACCACTACAGCAGCAAATTTTTAGTTCTAGTCACTGGCTTTAAACAGGTGCCTTTTCACACCACGTAGTATTAGTCGATTTTGTGACAAGAAGGAAACATGAGATGAAATACATTAAATAAGTCAAATATGCATTAAACATCTCTGAATAACATTTTTAATTCAACTAAATGAACCAACAGCAGTGTAGCTTGGTCCCTTGGTGAGAACAAGGCATCGCCCCTTATCCCAAGCGCGTCCCACCGTCAGCACGAGCCCCTCGGTGCTGCCCAGCACACTCAGCGTGGCCACACACGACTCTTTGCAGCTTCTCACTACTCAGTAAGTGCCAAAGGAACTGGTAACTTGCACAGAGCTGAAGACACTGACAGAAACTGTTAAATTTATGAGCAGAATGGTGGATTAACGTATTTTACAGAAGTTATCAACACCTCCTGCCTAACCCAGCTCCAAACATCCCGAGGGCCAGCTCCAGCAGTGGAGGAAGAGGTTGGTTTTTTTGTTTCTTTTTTCTAGTTTTCCTTTTTTTTTTCTTTTTTTTTTTTAAAAAGAGGTAATCCAGCAACATGTACCAGGGTCTAAGAATGTTTAAAATGACATATACAATATTCCATTGTAGTGTTAAATCAGGATTTTCTCCCCCCCTTCATCACTGAAGCGTATTCTCTTTCATTCATTCGCTCATCGTACATTTTAAACTTTCTAGATTATGTTACATAGTATTTGTGCAGGGGTAATTTAAAGGCAAGACCTGTGAGATGTCATACATTAATTTTTTTTTTTTAAACATTGTTATGAATAAATTTAATCCAATGATATGGCAGAACCATCAAACCAATTTACAATTTCCAGCATGCTGCCTCTACAAGGCTATTTTTCCTATAATTACACCAAAGACAAAGAACAAAACCACCAAAGCAAGTAGTCTGGAGCTGAGCCCTTCATCCTTGACAGCAGCTGCAGAAGGAGAGATTGGGTTGTTTGGTTGGGGTACCTTCCTCATCCGCAGTCCATCTTCTTCCTAAAGGGAGATATATTGATTAATTAATGAAAAAAAGCTTTAAACATTCACCCTTTACCATACTTATTTAGGTGGGTGTTACACAATAGGTGAAAGGTAATTTACAGCTAATTTAGAGCTCTAGTTCCTAAATAATCGTGAGAAGGGAAGACTAGTGAGGAAGGAGAGGAATTCTGTATCTACTTGAGCGGCAGAGCAAAAGCCACAAGCTCTTGGAAGTTTCCTCCTGCTAAGGAAACAGGGGAAGAATGGGGAAGCCATTCCTGTCCAAAGTCTAGAGACAGCTTCAGAACTTCAACAGGAATGATGGAGGGGATGGCCTGAAGATGCTTTTCTTGCCCTGTAAGCACATAAAGTGCTCTTGGGGAAAACATTTTTCAATACAACTAAGATAAAGTTGCATATTTTTCACAACCTAAGGCAATTACACTCATCATTCCCCCAGTCAGATGTCAGATATCACAAGCAAATTTTCCCAGCCTTTGAAGGGAAATCTATTTCCCCCATCACATTAATGCTGACATTTTGACATGTAACTAATGGCAATAATTAGGATATTTTCTTGGTACGAGCTTGACAGCTCACTTGATTGAAAGATGAATGAGACAAGAGATAAAACAATGTAACACCACCAAATATTATCATTTCAAGCGGAGATGACGCTCCCCAGCTTTACCTAAAGTGTTGTGCAGCACAGGCAAGTGTTAGCACACTCCAGTCCACACACACACACTCAGAGCACTTCAGGAGAGAGAAAAAGGAGCCTTTTGTGACCTAATTTGTGTCCAGCTGAAGCAAGTATTAGACTTTTTAATGTGATACAGTATTACACTGCAAAAGTATAAGATACTGAAGCAAAAGCCTCCAGACTATACATAAAAAACCACTTGAAACTGGAATAAAAGTTACTGCAGCCTTAAAAACTGTAGATAAGTGAAATTCAAAAGGCTCAGAGTATGTTGGTGTTTCTCGCTTTTGAATTTAAAGGGACACCTGAATATTCTGGATAACTTATTTATTAATTAATTTATTTATTTACTCATTAAGTCACAGGCCACCTGATACCCCACTGCTGCTCTAAGTCTGGACAGGGACAACCGTCTTCTGTAAATAAATAAAATGCTGTTTACATATATAGTAATTTCACTGTTAGAAACAACAAGTTTCCATTTGAAATATTTTAACTTCCTCCTGACTGACTCTGGCCTGACACTGACAGCACCTGGGAGCTGGCAGTGATCTAGTATTGCTTTCTGATGTTTTACAGATGTTTCTGCACTCCACAAAGGGGACAAAGAGCTCACCAGTTCAGGATGTTACTGTAAGACATCAGCTCAATTCTAGATAGCTCCTGTAGAGTGTTTATTCAAGACTGATTTGCAAAAAAATTAACTAAAATCATACAGTACTTATAGTAATGAGTTGCTGGCAAAACAAGAACACAAGGAGAGGTTAAGGGTATATTACTGTTGTATTACGTGTGTTATTTCTGTGCAAAACAAAACTGGTTTAAAGTATTTCTTCATGCATCAGCCAGAGCTGACAGAACAGAATTCCTTCAGCTGGGCTGCAATAGTCACAAAATCTAAATGTTCACTGGTGCTGATATCTATGGAACCGGACACTTAAAACTAATGAAACTGCTGCAAAAAGAGTTTTCCAGCACAGTGATAAAGGCTGCTCAACTACTCAACTTCCTAGTGATGTGCTGGATATGACAGGGAGCACATTTCCCATTAATCTGTCTTAATTTGGCCTTTTCAATGGCTTATTACAGGTTCAATCACTAAAACACTCAGTATTTGCACAACACTGCCCTCAAGCTCCCATAGGTTTGGGAGAACAGGGCCAAATCCAACACTGAATTAATTCACACTGAGAAAACTAGGTGGGAAAAGAAAAAAAAGAGGGGGAATTCATTACTCCAGGTTGCCTTCCATCAGCTTCTCTGACTGCATCACTTGTACCTCCTTTCAAAGGAACCACTGATTTCAGCACCTTTCCACAGTTTATAGAGAGAAAACTTAAGTTATCTTTTACTTTACAGACAATATTCAGATATTGTGCTATGGTCAGGGAACCAAACCTTTAAGTTGAAAGCTTCTTTTTCAGGAAAGGGGTAAATCTGAAAAGAAAACAACACATATCTTTACCTTAAACTGTTTATTCTCCTCCCGTAACCTCTGAACTTCTACTTGAAGCCTCTTATAGTCTTCCATTACTTTCTTAACTTCAGTGTCATCCAAAGAAGAACTTATTGATTTAGACATTACAGAGGAATCTGTCTTTGTTGCAGTTGTGGATACAATTTTATTTATTTCTATGTCATGCTGTTAAAAAAGGACAGAGTGATTTTTGGTTAGTTATTAACACCACACCACACACCTGATATTTAGGAGGAGGATCAGGTAAAATTGTCTGTGCACACCTGAAACGTGCCTGTATCAAAAGAAATAAACATTTTTCTTTCTGTAACCTTTAGTGCTCTCACAGAAAACACCAATCAGCAATAAGTGCAGACAGAATGACCTCGACTTTCCAGTCCCTGCATACATAGAAAAGGAAATATCCTCAGTCCAGGTCCCACAATATGAATGGGAACTTGCTCACAGTCTGCCCATGGGATATCAGTGGTCTCCTCACCTTTCCCTCACCAACAGCTACTCCAGGAACCAGGATCCTGCTGAAGTTCCCTCTCTCCTCCCTCCTCACCCCTGGCTGTCACCTCTCCTTTCTGTGGCACTCTGGGGAGGGTGGAACTTGCAACCCAAGGTGGGGAACAAGCTGCAGAGCTCCAAACCCTCCTCCCCCTCCTGCCTTTGGATCCTCTCCATGCTCTGCACTTTGGAAAGGGGCCTCATAAAAACAAACCAGTCTCTCCTCACCCAAACAATAAATAATCCCAATTACAAGATGTCCAGTGCAAGGTAGAACAATTGTGCCTTTAGCACCTGCATATTAGGAAACATTTCTCAGTTTATTCAAACCATTATCAGTTCTACACTGGACACTACACGGTTCCCTTAGAAATTAATGTGTTCATTACCCTAACAAAAAAGGATCCTGCAATATTATAGCTGCTAATTGCAATATAATCCCTAACTGCATTTGTGTTTTCCTCACCAGCTTTCCACCAATTTACTTGCTAAAAATCAGCATTGTCCCACAGGAGCAGAGGGGAGCATTGGTTAGACAAATAATATTGCTGCTGTATTCAGTATAAACTCTGAGCTGTACAACCATCAATCAGCATCTTTATATTTATTTAAAATATTTTTTATCCTGCGATCTTTCACTAAATAAAAATAGATTAACTCAGACTGCTCTGTGCTACTGTTGCACTTACACTGTTCAAATCAGCTGCCAGCTACGTTAAGGATTAACAAGACTTCAAACAGTTTATACTGTGTTTTTAAAGGTGATGCCATCCAGGCAGTGAAACAGGCGGTTCTGTCCTTTGCTTATAGAGCTGTCTGCATAAACATGCCATATTACAGGATTTACTGTGGTATTAAGTTAAATCACTCAATATGCATCTGAAAATACTCACAGGCTTATCATTTTCTGCTGGTAGCTCGAACACACACCTAAGTTTCGAATCCATGAGTTCTTCTGGTTTTGCTTCTTTCCACTGGAATAATTTAATATTAATTTAGTATTAAACATATCAATATAGTAAGGCAGATGGAAAATGCAGTGTATTATGCAAACAAATCACATCATTTTACTCAGGGAAAAAAAGCCCACAGGTGTTTATCATGTTCCATTAGCCACATACAGGATGAAAAATGAAATCAAATATGTGACTGATTGGCATCATGAAAACAGACCAGACACTGTGAAGCAAATCATTCTAAATAGTCTGAAACCTCCACAGGTAATTTATGAGGACTGGGAGCTGTGTCAGAGTAATTAGCAGAGATAGGGGGAGCTGTGGGCCTGGTTAAAAAAACAAAAGGAAAAAGGAGGGGTGAATTCAAAGGAAGGGAAAGATAACAAAAACCCAAATCAATCACAGCGTTAGTTCTGAAGTCTTTGCCCAGCTGAGTTCCTATTCAAACTTTTCAAATTTCACATGAGCTTTTTTTCCTAATTGTTATAAACTACAGGACTGTTCTTTCTGCTCCTTGTTTTCCACCTCCTTATTTTTCAGCATCGGTGTCTGACCAATAACAGATGTGCTACACACAGAGAGAGATAATTCCCCTGTCACCTTCTCTCCCCTTCAGCTAGGGAGTGTACCATAAACAAGCTTCCTTGCAATATTTTTAATAGGGATTAACAGTAATAAATCTTTGCTCAGTATCAGCTGTAACCCTGAAGTGAAGACATTTATTCCCAGCAGTGATATCCAGCAAGAAGTGTCCACACTCATATCCTGGAGTTATCATGTGCTTCTCTTCACTGTGACCACACTTCTGGTGGCTTGGTATTCCCAGCATATCTCAAGTAGGTGTCAAATTATGGCCAATCCTGTGCAACCTGAAGGAGTATTTAACTCATCCTAAATAGCTGAATCCTACTCCAGCTCTTCTGGGGCTGAAGTCAGAATTCTATTTCAAGCTCCTTGGCTGCCTGGGAAGTGTTGAAAGCTTTACAGTCCTCCCGTAACTGGGCTCACCTGTTCATCCAGAATGGGAAGAGCTTTGGAGAGTGGGAACAGAACTGAGAACTGAACAAAGTGTTACAGGAAAAGAAATTGTATCGGGTCTGGAGAGCTCTGGAAAACTGAAAGGCCCATCTAGGTACTAAAAACATTCTCTGCTGGCAGAATAACATTTGTCATGGTATAAAGTAACTCATAAAAATTAAAGAGTTCGAAAGAAAGGCAGACTGGCTTGTCTTTCTAGTGATGCAGATTTTATTACTATAGCTGTTTCTCCCACTGGATCTTATTTTGAGACCATTAAACAAATATAGTTCCATAAATCTCTTTCAGAAGGGAAATTATTAACCCTGCAGAGTGCCCCAGCCTTTTAAAGCTATTCAGAAGAAGACTCATCTTATAAAGACTACTGTAAAAAAGCCATGATATGTACCCTGAGCTTTTCTGGGGTTACTTCTTTAAGTAACACACATACACAAACACACACAAGTCCCACACTTCAGGAAATGGCCATTTCCCTTTTTATATGGTGTCCTCAACAGCTACCCTGTGCTCTCCCAAAGCTTCCTTGTGCCTTCTTGTGGTAGCAGATGCTGCTGTTAAAGGAAAGCCAGCAGCTGACATAATGGTTTGTTCCTTTCCAGGTTGCCCTCCTGTAGTCTAATATCTTCTTTCTATGTCTTTTGTCTTTCTTTGCTTCTGCTGCTCTCATTTTTAATCCACGGGACAAAATCTACGAGGACCTTTCATTTGCCAAAGCCACAGCAGACATAGGCAGGGATAAGGAAAAATACATCACTTGTAAATCATCCTCTTGTTTCTTGCTGGGAAAAGGAGCTGCCCAAGGGAAGACTCAAGACTGAGAGCAGATGCATAAAATATAAAAGATGCCACAGACTTAGAACATATTCTACGTGTTCTTAGAATATATAGTTCAAGTTGGCCTTTCTAAAAAAGGATATATTGCAAAAAAACTACAACTAGTTGTTTTGTGGCTTGGCATTCCATTCCTGACAGCAGCTTCCCAAGGAAGCAACCACGACACCAGCTGTCTCTTTCAGTGCATGATTCCTGGGGTTCAAAATAAACAGAAAACACCTTGAAATGCACGGAGATGGAAATCTGGGAAAGCTTTCAAGGATCATCCCAGTGTGGACTGACAACAGCCCTCAGGCAACGCAGTAAAAGGACTTACAGAATTATACATTTAGAAAGAAATCTATTTAAATTAATATCAATACTTACTACTGCTTCCATATCTGAAGTATCAGCTGGAGCAAACATAGACTGAACCATAAACTTGTGTTTACTTTTCTCATTAGGGTCATAGTCAAAAGGCTGTAGCATCACTGCAAGAAAAAGCCCCAAAACACATCACATCAATATTGCTCTGATGCAGAGTCATGCACTGATGATACAGGTACCAGAGTTCAGAAATACGAACATTGAAATGGGTTCAACTTGTACATCCTTGTGACCAAAGCAGCAGCTGAGATCAGGAACGTCACTTTAAACCAAAATTCTGAAAGAAGAGAAACAGACTCCTCCAGCCTGTCTAGACTTCTGTCTGAGAATTCTGGAATTGTTGATCACTTAACAATATTCTGTACACGAGTGTGGCAGGATAACAATAGTAATTTATAGTAAATAGGATAATTTACATATCCTCTGGGACAGAGGGAAAAATTTTCAAAGGCAGCATCTTTTTGTCTTCCTCCACCCTCGGGGCAGAAGTAACAAGCCTTTGGATGAGCTGTGCACAGTGCTGCTGATGGTCCCTGAGCAAAGCTACAGAGGCAAAGGCAAACATTGTAAACCTCCAGGTTCCAGTCCCAGGATGGAAATTTCCTCTACAAAGTTTAAGAGCCTCATGGTATCTTTTGTATCAAGCACAAGTATTTCACTTCCAAAAATAAGTCACTGAACGTTTGTTACCAATTTATAGCTGGAAGTTAATGGTTAAATGTGACATAAACTTTGCCTCTGAAAGGTATACAAGGAATGTATTTCTCTCCATTTAAAAATCAAAAGCATTCCAGAATTTACTTATGCAGAAAACGACTGTGTTCAAGGGGCAGAGGAAGGAACAGCAGGTTCAGGGGTGTGGGGTTTTATTCCATTTTTCACATAGTATTAGGAGTTTCCATGTCTTTTCTTTTAGGGTAAAGAACTAACATGTTAAAGTAACTTGAAGGGGGACAGTGAAGTACTTAATTTACATGGAATATTCTTTAATCACAGTGGTCATATTTGCAAATGACACCTGGATATTCAGCTATTGTGACATTAACAAACATGGGTTTGGCTTCAACACGAGACAGAACATGTGAAAATAAGCAACAGAGTTCACACAAACATGTTATTAGATATTGCAAAAAGCCACCAACTCCCTCAAATAAAATGAAGCTTATAAATACTGTCATTACTGCTAACATAAAAAATTATATAAAATTTCACATTTTATGACCAGTGAGCTCACTTCAGTCCCTCAATTCAATCAGTGAGAAGAGAAGCAGTTCAAGAATTAGGATTACTTTCAAGTACTGGTGCTATTAACATTATGTGCCCAGATTCATATGCACTAATTGCAGGGGTTTGTTGTATAAAAGCAATATCCAAAGATCCCATCTATTGCAAATGCAGGCAAGTCAAAGCAATTTGCCTCCCTCAATGAGCAGAGGATGTTATGGCTGTGCCATCTTTATTATGCACACAATCTGTGGCCATCAACAACCACATGCCTTTTGAAGCCTGGAGAGAAGGAAGACAATAAATTCCCTCAGATGAGGTGCTTTAAAAATTATTATACATTTTTAACTCACCTTGTAGTAATCGAACATTAGTCCAAAATAAGTGTTTGCAAATTAAACAGGTGACTTTTAAAACTATTTTCCCAACAGAAGTGAGTGCACTGTGAGAACACATATATTTCAACACACTGAAAAGCAGCAGCATTTTTTTCTTCGCTGTAGTAGACACTTGAATTATTTCAAATCTACATAATGTGTAAGATCCAACTGGAGAGTCAAAACTATCCACTGTTTATGGAACTTGTACAGATTGTGGTTTTATCAGCCTGCTTTGCTGAGTGCATCCATAAGCTCATTTGAAAATCAGGATTCCCCAAGTGACAGAGCTGAATCCGTCCTGGAACGCTGCTCTGAGCTCCATTCACTGAATCACAAGAGCAAGAGAGGGCTCGACAGTACAAACCTTGTTAGCACTTGTATTTTTAGATCAATACATGAAAGCCACATTGACACAAATTATTCAGCAAATGTCTTGTAAGCCAGATGGGAAGCTCAAAAATATGTACTTTGTTCCAGAGGAAACTGAATCATTTCAATATTTATTCGCGTGCTACTGGGGCTTTCTGTGAAAGAGCAGCTCCATAAAAGTGCCCTAATTGCTGGAGAATTTGCTACTGGGAATGTGGCTCCTCTGTTTTGAATGGAAACCACATACTTTATGCAAAAACTACGTGAAAAGTGTGTTCCTACAAAATGCCTCCTCACATCACTCATCTCATCCGGTCAGAAGCTTCAGCTTTCATCAGAATCCAGAGTTTTAAGAAACAAAATTATTCATATGATCTTCAAGTCTACTACCACCAGCATCCATCAGGTAGAGACACGTATTTCAAACACTTTCTCACCTGTTCCCCCCCAGCTGAAGCACCAGCAGTGTTCTACCCTGAGCAAAAACTGCACAGTCACTGAGATCAATGGAATGAGGAGAAGTTGTATTTGTGAGGCCCACTTGTCTCTCTCAAAATTCAAACATGAAGGACTGTCCTTTTGTACCTCCTGAAGTGTTCCTAAAGCAATGGACACCAGCTTTCTCACCCACCCCTGCCATACCCCTTCATCTATCTGTGCATAGCCAGGAGAGGCACTGATCACCCACTATCCTCTTTTTTTCCCCCCTAGAACAGTTTACTGGCAAAGTTAGTGACAATGTCAGAAGCATTAAGCTCTTCTGGTTTTCCTAGGGTAAACCTGCCTTCTCAACGAACAGAGGAAATCTGAAGCAAGGAACATGGAAGGAGGCAAAATTCTACCTCTAACACCTGCTGGGATCTACCTTTCCCTTCCAGGAGCAGAAGGAACAGAAAAGTCTCCCAGCTCAGATGGTCAGCAACCTTCCTCTAGTTTCCATCTAAATTTATTAATGGCCTGTTTACTTGGTCCTGGACCAATACTGCCCTTCTGCTTACATATCAGAGAAGGGGAAGAGTCATTTACTTCTGGTGCACTCCAAGACATCAATCACAGCAACTCTTGGCCTTCTGGCACACTCAGCAAGCCAGACTCAGTGGGTCCTCCCTGGGCCAGGCTCCCCATTCATTCTCTGCACCTGTTCTGGCACAAACTCCTCTATACGAGCTACTCTAATTATACACCCAGGAAATTCTACTAGTGCCTTGCACAACAGCATTTCTACCCTCTCTCTCTGCCATTATCAGCCTGTTTGCTACATATTTGCCTACAAATGTAGATGTGTGATACTGCATTTGCCTTATTCACAGCCACATTATGTCAGCATCTTGCTCACCCCAGTCAGGCCCCTCCATTTAACAAGCCTGCAATTATAGCAGGAGTACTTTATTCTCCAAGTATGTGATTTTGCAGTTTTTTCTAATGAAACTCATCCTTTGTTTGTCTCACTTTAGCTTTCAAGGACACCTAGTTCTGCTGCATAACTTCCCAACTTTACATCATCATCAGGGTTTTTAGTGCTCTCTTTGTGCCAGAATTACTTGTAAAAGCATTAAACAAGATTAGTACCAAGAATCATTCTCAAGAAACGTCACTAGTAACTTCCTGCTATTACATTTCCATCCACCACATCACTGTTCACTCTCCAGCAGCTCATTCAACAGTCAGTGAATCTATTTTTCTTTTCCAGCTTTACGGATCATTTTCCCAACTGACACTGCATGGTCTGGACAGATCAAATCTACCACATTTATGTCACCTTTCCATAAAATACCCCAACCAGGGGCAAGTTTCAAGTTCATTGTGCAATTTGATCAGCTCTGCCAGAGGTGAGGAAGGACACTGCAACGACAGAAACAGGCAGAATCCACTGCACCCTCCATGTTTGTTCCACATTTACATAAACAAACATAAAATTTCGGTAAATATTTCCATAATATACTAAAAAATGTTGAATTTGTGAAGACAGAATCTTTTAAAGCAAGGAGGCACAACCAACCCAAAATTTGGTAGAGGCTACAGGGTCCAGGGAGGTCCATGGGAAGAAGGCACAGCAGAGCTGCTGCCGAGGGAAAGTTTGGGAATGCAGCAGTGGATGAGGGAATGGGGCAGCCCCCATGTGACTGCAGAGCACAGGGCTGAGCTCCATCCCTGCTGAAGGCAATGCCAGCTGCCTTTTCCAAGTCAGGCAAGCTCACAAAAGAGTAAAAATTCCTCCAGAGGATATTCGACAGCGACCCAAGGCCAACATCAGCTTCTGCCTGTGTTCAGGCAGCGTGTTCAGACTGCTCTCTTCAGCAGGACACTGTCACAGATGGTTCCTTCTGCACTTCCTCTCTCCCCCCTCACACACCTCACCAGCATCTGCTGAGGGTTTTTTCCACTTTTCCTTTGTAATCCACTCATGATTTAGATTTCAACCTCCCAGAAAAAAAATCAGGTATCTCTGTAGAAATCACACGTGTCTAACAAAAAGGGAATGTGTGCAAATGCTCCTCCTTGCCCAGCATTTCCGAGCACATGCAGAGCCATCAGCTGACAGCACACACACATACGCTCCCCGACAGTTACATAAACTGAGCTGTTAAAATTACATGCCATTATATAACAGGTGAAAACACGGGCTCCAAACCTGCCACCACAGCGAGCAGCACATGCTGACAGGGCCTGAAATGCTGGGATTTAGGAAAAGCTGTGATTTGGCATAAGAAGCCAGTATTTGAGACTCCACTAGAATAAAGTAAGCTTTATTCTTCCAGCATTCTGTGTGTTTTAAATGAGCCATTATATTAGTACCATATAAGGTGGAACAATGTTCGAACTGCTGCCTCTGTCTCAGGGCAGAATATCTTCTCATATACTTACATCAAATTAGTACAGATTTAGTTTCACAGGAGTGTAACAAAGGCATCTGGTTACTACAGTGCAAGGAGATGAGGCTGCCCCAAATTCAGCTGCAGTCAGTAACATTCTGAGAAACTAATAAATCATTCCAGAGCTTCATGCCACCACAGGCACTGATTTTTTGGAGAGACAAACCAGTGCAATCAGTGACTCTGGTAAAGCCAGTCAGCAATTTCCAAGAGGACAGATTGCATATAGTAAATACAGCCCAATTAGTTTAAGTGTCCAGAAGTTACTACTGAATTTAACTACATTCTAATAATTTCTCATCAGTAGTATTTTCACTAGGTCTGGAGGAATTCAAGTCCTATTTATTCAAGTCCTATTTTTATGCCCTATTCAAGACTTAAATTACATGACTGAAAAATAACTGATACAGAGGCAAAGAAACAAATTCTATTTATTTTTCACTTCATTAACTCCAAAATCACTCCTCTGTTCTCAAGCAACATTACTCCAAAGCAAAGGTTAAACACGTCTCCCCCCTCTCTGTGAACCTGAAAACAATTTTGTTCTCTAAGTTAATGGGAGTCCCCTCTTTGATCCCTATCCAAGGGATCCCATCTGCTGATTAGAACCAAAGACACTGCCAACTTCAAGTCCAAATTTAGGTCCCATGCATGGTTTAAAGGACCTACCAGAACTGCCATATATACAGCTCTATTAAACTCCAGTTTAGAATGTTGTAGGAAATAAAAATTAACACCTGTAAACCCAAAACTCTATAATATCTACCTATAAATTTACCTCAATATATTACCTGAAGAACAATGAATGTGTACTGTTTGCATTTTAAAATGTAACACTTATGTAAAGGACTGGCAATTTAGGACCATCATTTATTACTGAAATTATTAGCAGCATGAAAATATTAGAACACACATGTGAGCGTGTGATTAAATACACCACAGCCATTTTCAAAACTAACCAAATCATAAATCACTATAAATAAAGTCACCAGAAAAGGGAAAATTGTAAAGCTATGTAAGCAAGAGGAAAGCACAGCTCAGGGTTAGCACAGCAGTCTCATAATGGGATACTTTAAGTCTTGGACTAGATCCACACTATCTGGTGTGCCACTGGGAAGAGTGAGGCTGGAGAGGCAAGTTGCTGGTAGCATAACATGAGAGGGTTCCTACAAACACCCTCCTGTACTGTATTTGCTCAAGGTGGAGCAAAGGGACACTGTGAGCAGAGGTTTAAGAAAACACTCAACACTGAGATCAAGGCGACATTAAAAAGCCTGGGAAGAGCCTGCAAAGGAAGTAGGCTTTTAATTCTGAAAGTTCATCTGCAAGATGAAAAGCAACCACATCTTTATAGCATGAAGATAATTTGTAGCTAGAAACCATGCTAATTTTCATTATCATTTCATTGATTTCAATGCATTTGATATGCTTGCCTGCAGCTAGGAGAGATGACAGACAGCTTTACTTGGGAATTGTCCCGACTTTTAAAAATCTCTATTTCTCTCTAGAGAGCTTTTTCATTTACATATTAGTCATTTCAGAGCTCACTGGGTACGTGCTGGCCTTCTCCTGAAGCAGAAGTGCTTTGCCTGCCCCACCTGTAGCTCCCAGTGCAATTGAGGCACAATCCTGCAGCCCTTTGCACGCTCAATTTGACACAGAAATCCCAACGACAACAGATCAATGAGTGTGCAAATGTGGGCATGTCCAGGAAGACTGACAGGGTTAGACTTGCTTAATGTTACAGTGCAAAGTATTTTTGGGAGCAATTTTTATTTTGTTGAAGCAAGCTCCCCAGGGGCGAGGTATTAAAATATTTTACATTTTATTAAGTAAAAAAACTGAAGTCTTGATTTGTACAAGTTGATTTTTTTCAAGTAAAAAGCAGTGACTTTAGCTCCCCAAATCTTTTATTTCATCTAGGAAAGGTTGCTAAGACACTAATAGCAAACTCTATAATCTATCAGTAATTTTTCTTATCAAGCTAACATTAAATTCTTTTAAAAATAGTAAAGCAAATCTGCATATTTATAGAAATTATTTTCTTACCTAAAAAGTCAGACCTCATTCATGCAATATGCCACTACTATGTGCTTTGGTAGAATTCTTTGTTAAAAACATGGATGAGAGAAGTCATTGAGAAAATACTGTTTTCAGGCATGTATCATCAGTGAGTTAATAATATGCAGACATTCTGTTCATGGGAATACTCAGCTCTTTATGCTTTCAAAGTAAGCCACTCCTTTGTTTTTTCCATTACCAAACTTAGGCAAGTCAAGAGCTACTGACTCATTAGAGAAAATCATTAACTTTTCCTATGGAACAGCAAAGATTTAGTCATTTGACATTTTTAACACCAAAGGATACTGAATCTTCAGGGAACCCAAAACAAACATGGATTGAAAGTAAACGTTTTCATTGTTGGTTATATCAAGGCAGTTTGGCAACAGCCAACACCAGTCTAAACCAGTGGCTGCAGTCCACCCAGATTTATTCTTCCCTTGATGTGCTCACCCAAGCACTTGTTTGACCCCATGGTGAGCTGGTTCAGGAAGTTAAGCTGGCAAAAAACTAACTACAAAAATAATCCCACAGGGAGGGCAGGGCTGCAGCAGCACTGCTTTGGATAGGCTGGCTGAGGCTCTTAATGAGCCATATAAATCATTCTGCCCTTTTCCTCTCCAAAACATGATGTAAAACCAAGCCTACTGCTGCTAGACCAGGAATAAGGGAAGTAAGGCTATGTGAAATGGCTGCTTCTCCAGGAAAACACAACCTATTGGGTCAGGCTGCAAAGCATTCCCAGCAATTGATTAAAAGAAGCTACTTTCAAATCACCAAAAAACTGCTTGAATGGCTTACCAGAAACATTAATTGATGTTCCTGCATCGATAATTCCACTGTTGGGCCTTACACAGTATCTACGTGGTGCTGTGGTCTTAACTTTGAAGCAAACATTTCTGTCTGTGGGGTTGCCGAGCTTCAGGTTTGTAGTGACAACATCTGTGAAAGGACCTGGGGAGGAGAGAGAGAAGCAAGGCTTGAAATCACACAGAAAGCACTTTTCAAGCAGAGGCTAAGCAGGCTCTAAATCTCTGTTCACAAATCTTATAAAGTAATTAGATGTCCAATTTCCATCTGCAGCACGTACAGATAATCGCGCACGCAAAGCCGGCGCCCCGGCCCTGCTGCAGCTCCAGCCCAACAGCTGAAATGATCATTAACTGCCAGACAAAAGGGGCAAATCATTCACACATTGTGCCAACACCACAACATGGCATTCAGAGGATGCCAAATTCCCTGCTGCATCACAGATCCTCCATCCCAGCGAAGCCAGGCTAACAGAGATACCACATATACCCATGTTGGAAGTGATAAATAGTGAGCAAATACAGTTTGTTAACTAGGCAGGGAATGATAACAGAGAGGCTACTACAGATCCATCTGCATGTGAAGCTGTACCTCCAGAGAACCAGGAATCCACCAGGTATTCCAGAATGCCACGCCAAAACCAGCAAAACAAGCATTTAGGACACATTTTCTTTTCCCTAGCAAGTTTGTTTTTTGGGTTTTTTTTTTGTAATAACTCTCTTGGCCACTAGAAATTATAAACCAGAAGAAATAAAATAGCCTACCTCACCCAGGGCAGGAAATAACCACGTGGAAATAGGGAAATTTTTAGACGCTGAGAGCACTGGCAAAGATTTCCATATTAGCAAAGCCAGAATAAAACCATTGTCAAGTTCTGCAGCACCAAGTGCAGGCAAATCCATTTCTCCCAGGTTCACTACCTAATTGGAACTGCCCAAATCCCTCAGGTTAGAGGAAAGGCTCGTTACTGATTTCCCACAAGACACTGATAAATCAGACAGGCAGCACACAACTATAGCGTTTTACAGATGGTAAAGAAGTAAAATTAAAAGAAATATAACCACACTTTGATCAAATGTCTTCTGCATAGAAGTGATTAATTTGATGCCTGAATAAAATATCTTCATCTGTCCTCAGGATTAAAAGCAAATTGGTCAAAAAAAAAGCATTGAACTTTTCCTTACAGAAATGACAGCCTTAAAATTGAAAAGGGGGGAATGATGATGAAAATAAAAATACTGGAAGGTAACATTCCACCATCATCCTCCCAAAGCATGGTTGACTTAAGGTAATTTAAGTGTGATACTTTTTCTACAAATTTATCACACAAATTTGTCTCCCAAGATGACATTTCATACAGCTGTAGCAGTACCTCAGTCCTGCAATCTTTATCCTCAATTTGTTTAAAGGAATTAGAAGGGGAAACCCCCCAAACAATCACACACACAAAACTCTCCCACCAGACAACAATGTAGGACCATTTCTGCCTGTGCTCTGAACAGACCAGCTTTGCACTTACAATGCAACCTGGGACCTAAAAAAATTGAAGCAATAAAATTTTCAGATCCCGTGGCAAAGATTTCACTAAACCTGTGCCTGGTGAAACACTGTGATGTGAAAGGGAATGAAACACAGCTGTCAAGTTTTCTCTGTGTTCTGCATGCAGAGAGAGACTTGAAGCTCATGGAAAATAACTGGGCAGAAGCAGCCACGAGTTGTTAAAGAAGTTAAACACGCCAAACTATCAGAAAAATCCAGCAGACATTCAGGTGTGTAAAGACAGCAGCAGATCTTCAAAACAGCTCTATCTGGGAGAAGTCTCAACATCTCAGAAGAAATTACAGGATGCCTAAGCATTAAGGATGTGTCTTTACTAAAAACTTACAGCTTGAGCTATTCCAGCACAGAGGGAGGGTGGGCTGAGCAAAGCCCTGCATATGCAGCTGCATCCTCAGCAGTGCTTTCCTGCTCTGCGTGCTGGGATAGATTTCCTGGGGGAAATACCATGTTTTTATTTGGCTGATCCATGAAGGCTTGTGGGATTTGTGTGTCCCAGCGAAGAGCTGCTGTTTGAAACAGTAATACGACAACAATTCTGTGTGTAAAATAATTTCCAAATGGAGTTACTTATTGCTAACAGAGATCATACCAAAATATCTGGCAGCAAAACCTTCCGGCAGACGGAATTAATTTCTTCTTGTCTGCTTGATGTTTGCTCTTCTGTTCTGTCCACTAAGCTTTAAACAGCTTCTTTAGCTCCATTTTTCCCCAGTTACAGGTTCTGCAGATCAGCCAGCACAACTGGACTGGAAGGCTGACATCTGCTTCCAGCAAACCTGTGTGAGGCACAACTCCTCACGGCACTGCTGGCCAAACACTGCAGCAAAGCAAAACACAGCAGACAAACACAGGATTAACGTGCCATTGTAGGTGTTGTGAAGTGTGTAAAAAAATAAATAGGTAACAGAGTATTGACTCAGGGGTAATTGGGGCATGACAGTGAAATATTATCAACTTAGCTGGCCCTGCCTTTTGAGAGCAAGGCCCATGGACTGCCAAGTCGGGCTGAAATGAAACCCTGATAGCCTGTTGTTAGATTACTATAGCCAAGGCTACATGGTTTTTTGGGGGGTTGGGGTATGTGGGAGAACTATCTCAGGATAAACACAAGCTAATTCTTTACTGGAGATACACCTCTGCTTTCCAACATTTGGATGTGAGCACAGCAGATAAGGCTGGAGTGGGTATTAACAGTCCTGCAAGACACACATCTACCCTGGAGCTTCATTTTCCAGTGCAAGGCATCAGGAATTCTGCATTCATACACAGATACAGCAACATAAAATCCTCTACACTTCTTCCTGATCACTTTGTCCTCACTACAATTTATACAGGTATATGCAACCCCTGGACAATGCCTGTACCCCGAAGGTGGGCTGTGAGGGCAGTTCAGTCAGACTGGATGGTACCTGGGTAAAAGCAAGTGAGGACTGACTCTTACTCTGTTCTTAACCAGAAGCTGGGTTAAAACCACAACTCTCACTTCATTATTTTGTTTTGAATGTTTTTTCTATTGCTCATAATATTCCTAAATAAGTGAAAACCATACTAAGGCAGAGTGCTTTCCAAATGACAATTTGCACTTTAAAATCAGCCCAACTGTTTTTCCTCACGTGTTTTTTTCAAGAGATCATGAGAAAAATGCCACTGGTGTCATCCCAAGGACAAAGTTATGGGAAACAGGGTCTGTACATGCATCATCTGACACAGGGTTGTCACGGGAGTGAGCTGTCTACAAGGAAGAATGTAGTAAACTGAATTTGGTGGTGAAAGTCTGAAATATTCCACAAGGGCTTGATGACTTTTTCCTGCCAAAATAAAGTCAACTTGTGTTAATGCAAACTGGGCATCTAGTGATATGCAAAGTAGCAGAATTACTGAAAGGAAAGGAAACATCACCTCCTATACTCATGAAACAACCAACAGTAAGAGGTACCATGGTTTTTCACTTTTCAGAAGGGTTAGTGTCAAACTACAACTGTGGCTTTCCACCCAAGGAGCTACACATCCAATCCTTCCCATGTGAAGATCACAGCTGTACCTCAGAATCAGCCACGCTCCATTTCCTATTCAAACCCCAGTGCTGTATCAATCTTTTCTAGGAGTGCCATTCTGCAGTGCCCTGCATTATAATACCCCACATTATTTCACTAATGATACAAAAGTCTGGGAATTAGGTCAAAAGAACATGGTGTCAACTCTATTTAAATTTTAAATAACTCTCCTTGCAATAAAAATTGCCCATAATTGTACCAGCAAATCCAGGCTGATAACTTTTTGATCAGCACAGTACTCACTGTGAGACTCTTGCTCCTCACAGAAACCACGTTCCCCAGTACATTTGTACTGAACCTTAATACAACCATTCTCACCTCAACCAAAATTCCTTGCTTTAACACAGCAAATAAACAGTCCCCATACTGTTTGGCATGTGAAAGAAGTTAGCACAAGTATCAGCATGGGGAAAGCTTTGATGGTACAGGTTGGGCAGGAACATTCAAACCCACCGGGGACAGTCCTTGGCAGATTTGTACCTGCAAATACTACAACATCTTTATAATTAACTACACACATCAGGTGGGCCACAGTCCCAGGGCTGCTTTATTCCTGCATGAGTCCATCTCACTGCTGCCAGGGAGGTGTTCTGACCTCTCCTCTCCCCACCTGCCTGTACAGGCTGCACAGTGTGTGCCCAGAGCCGAGCCAGGGAGCTGCCAGGGCTGCAAATTAATCCACTTACCAGGCAGGGAGCAAGGGAGGGGGCAGTGGGGAAGAGAAGAGGGAGAATCAGTTTTCAGCCAGATCAAGCAGCACTCAGACCTGGCATCAGGCAAACTGCATCTTGCTGCCCAGCATTCTGCCAAATTAAGGCAGCAAGGTCTCACAGTTAGCAGGTTAAAGCCAGCAAGCACATCCAGCCATAGGCACTGCAGTCACACTCGTGTTGGCATAGCTGTTGAAAGTAATTAAGGCACATGCATTATTTCTTTGTGCTTAAATCTAACGGAAATTCTCATCTGTTTAAAGCCAAGCATCCCCTAAAAAATTTAGTGAACTTTTCAGAGAAAAGCCTTGCAGGATTACTTGACAGAATTGTAGCCATGTTCAACTGGTACCCATTGACCCACAAGACTAAGGGTAAATTCTCATCCAGCTCCCGTGCTCCTCCCAGAGTGTTTTAGATGCACTTTCAGCATCTTTCCTTAAAGAACTTTTGCCACCACAGCTCACCACAGACATGTACCCTAGAGCAAGGTAATTGGAAACAGCCAGAAATACAGGCAGAGCCTCTAGTGAGATAACCTCTCTTGTACTTCCTTTGTGGGGAGCAGTGGAATGCAATAATAGGAGGGGAAGGATGTATTTCACCATGGTTTAATCCCATTGATGTGTCAGAGGAAAGTCATTAACCACCTGACAGATTAATCAGCCGTGGAAAGGTAACCAAGGAATCTTTATTAAGGGAGATGGTGGAAACCAGGGAAGAGGAAACCTAAACTCTTGTGATTATTCTCAAGAGCCCAAATCCCACACATGACTAGGAGATGTCCATCCACATGGAGCAATAACTCACCCAGTGAAAA